GAACCTCTGTCACCAGCCAGGGTGGCACTGAGTACCGCCATGTGCCCTAGGGCACATCCCCATCCTCCAAAAGGAGAATCTAATGGGATGCTCATGCTTTGGGGTGAGCCAGCCTGGGATGGTCATGCTTTGGGGTGAGCCAGCCTGTGTGGTGGTGGCTCCTTGCGCTGCTGCACTGACAATGTCCCCTCTGCATGGTGGGGAACAGCAGAGTGGCAATTTTAACAAGTGGTCATTTTGCCATGAAACTTACACTTCTGGAGATCCTGTAATTCCCAGTTCACCACATCAGGTGGGATTTAGCACTGAACTGATTTAGCAGGCTGTGTGGAGTGTGAATCAGATTACATCAGCCCTCTCTATCAAACACTTCCACATCTAGACTAATTAAAACACAACTAGCAGGGCTGGCAATTTTCTTAAATATGCCCAATCTCCTATGAAATTAACATTAATCTCTATTCAATCTGCAAGTCAGTAAAGTGACACGTGGAAAATTACACGTTCTTCACTCAGGAATGCAAATGGGAGGATGACTTCATGTTCCTGAACCAGGAGATCAGAATGCCAGATGCCCCTGGTGCATGACCCCTTCCAAGGCTCTGAGAGATCACACGGAACTTTAAAATGTCACCTCATGTGTACAGAAGAAAGAAAGAGAGCCTGATAGCTTTGTGTTACTTAGCTTCATATTACTTAGCCTCCCGTTTTATTTGGTTAGGGCAGTGTGAGTGTCTTAACATGAAGCAGAGCTGTGATCTCTGTTCTGGCTGCCTGTATCCAGCAGACACCCTAATGCTTTTCTCATGGCTGGAGCAGTTAACAATCTGTTTTCTTGCTATTAATTAGAGGTGGTATTTCATTTCCTGATGAAGAGTGAGCCTGGCAACACAGCTGACAAGTCTGCAGTCCTCACTTTGAGTCATGCTTTATTTTATCTGGAGACGAAAGCAACAAACATGAATGTAGAATTAACACCTTCTTAAAACTGCAATTGTATTTTTCAGTCACAAAAACCAGGTGGCATTCAGTCTTTTCTGCTCTTATAATTTCCCCTGCTATGGAACTGAATGTCCTTTCTTTTTCCTTGACCAGCTGCTTGCTCCAGAAATCCTGCTGCTAGTGTGTGATCCAGGTCCCCATCTTTACTGAGTCTGTCCCTGTAGCAAATGATATAACAGCATTTTGTACTGTTGTATTTTTCCTCTCCCCCAGTGCATTCCATGCACCTACACAGTCATGCTAATTAGATCATGTAACAAATGAAAATGTGGCAAAAAATCTGTTCACAGGGTGTTGCAAGACAGAGCTGGATTTGGGAAGCAGCTATCAATGAATTTTGTTTGAGAAAACCCAAAGGATGTTGTTTTACTGATGATGAAGCAAACCCTGTGTAATAGGGAGCTGTAATCTGAGGAGACAAATTATTTTATTTAAATAGTCCTTAGTGAGCCCTGATATAAGGGCTTGCTTAGATGAAAAAAACTTTGAGAGTTTAACAGCCATTAAAAATAATTTAACCTAAAGTAAAAAAAAAACAAAAAACAACAAAATTAAACTTGATCAGTTTCATTAACCTTAACTAAGCAAAACCAAACTAATGTTAATCCATGATGTATGCCTACAAAGCAGGCAAGTAGCAAGGGACATGGTGTCTTTTAAATGAAAAGATGAGTTTATGTGGGATATGGTGATAGATTCAGAATGTGCCTCAATCCCTGCATTCCCAGGGCAATACAGGAGAGTGCCCACACAGCCTTCCCTGGCAAACCACCCCACTACCTTGTGTTTGCATGCTCATTGCTCAGGAAAAGTGTCACCCTGAGTGCTCTGCCCCGTGACAGGAATGTGTGTTTAATGGTCCTGGGGTTTATGGTACAGTCGGTAACATCCCAGCCCTCAGGCAGGCATTGCTGCCTCATCTCAGCTGAGATGCTCGGAAGTTTGACCATCGCTGCACATTTAAACCTGTAGATGCCTTGAGCCAGCTCTTCAATATAACCACAACCATTTTCGTAACGATGCAGAGACAGGCTGAGGGCATCACCAGGCAGCTGCACTTCTGCAAAGCTCCCAAAGGCAGCGAGAGCACCAACAAATATCACGTTATGAGAAACAGGAGAGGGAGCTGTGGCTGGGTGGTCAAAAGCCAGTTCCCCACCTGCAGATTCATGCTGGTGCTGTGATCCCAACTTCCAGCTATATCCCTGCTGGACACTAGATGTTGCTGTGCTGCTGCTCATACCAGCTATACATTAGCCAGGCTTGTAAACGGTATTTACTGCAATTTCCTTTCTGTTACTACGTTGTGAACACCGAGAGAGTTGCTACTTTAATTTACTTTTTTCTTGATGATTCACTTTTATTTGTATAATATCAAGTTTATAACCCCCGCAAATGCACACATAAAACTTTACAAGCAACAGAGACCTTTATAAGTGATAACATGAAGCAACTCCTATATGAATGTCAAATATTTACTTAAACTCTGTTTCTGGATTTATTTTTTTTTGCAATCCAAGGGTAATGACATGGTCACCCAGAGGATTCCGGGAACAAACTGACACTGCAAGGCCACGGAGGGAAGTTTGTTTATCATGGGGGGGGGGCAAAATTATATGTATATAAATATATATATAATACCAAACCTGTTTAGCCCTGCTGGGTTTCAGGCTTTCTACTCCCACATGTTTGAGTGGGAGAAAGGACAAATCTTAGGACGTTGATTTCCCCATGGCAACAGAAAACGGAAATGACTTTAACCCCATCTAGTGACAGATGACTCATGGCTCAGCCTGCTGCTGCTTTCCCAGCACTCAAACAATACAGCTGCAAAGAAAAGGGCAGCCTGAATTGTCTCCTAGGCTGAGCGCTGGGGCTTGTGGGAGAGGGCAGTTCTCTGGCTGCCTTTTTATCAAAGGAAGGCAGAGCTAAAGCCTTCTGGCTTTTCTCTTGGAGTACTAGTAGACAAAAAGCTAGGCAGGAAGGCCAACAGCATCCTGGGCTGGATCAAAAGAAGTGTGGTCAGCAGATCGAGAGGTGATTCTGCCCCTTTTGCCCTGGTGAGACCTCACCTGGAGTGCTGTGTCCAGCTCTGGAGCCCCCAACACAAGAAGGATGTGGACCTGTTGGAGAGTGTCCAGAGAAGGGCCATGAAAATAATTTGGGGGCTGGAGCAGCTCTCTGATGAGGACAGGCTGAGGGAGCTGGGGCTGTTCAGTTTGAAGAGAAGGGGAACCTCACAGTGGCCTTCCAGTACCTGCAGGGGCTATAGGAAAGCTGGGGAGGGGCTTTTTACAAGGGCTTGTAGTGAGAGGTCAAGGGGTAATGGTTTTAAACTGAAAGAGGAAAGATTTAGGTTTAGAGATCAGGAAGAAATTCTTCAGTGTGAGGGTGGTGAGACACTAGAACAGGCTGCCCAGGGAAGTTGTGGAAGCCCCATCCCTGGAAGTGTTCAAGGCCAGATTGGATGGGGCTCTGAGCAACCTGATCTAGTGGGAGGTGTCCCTGCCCAAAAAGATACTGATGGCAGAAATGGGTTTCTGTGAAAACAAGACCCCACAGGTAAAGGATGGAATAGAAATGTTCAGCACTGAAAGCTGCATTCTCTGAGCTGAAAGGGTAATTAGGGAGAGCAGTTTCTGGGCAAGGATGGTGGAAGCATTATCACTTGGAGCCCTTAAACCCAATGAGGTGGCATTGTGAAAGTGAAGCTTCATTCCAATTTGTAGGATAAAGAGGAAAGCTGCCAGCTCAGGGGGTCAGCCTTAGCAGCCATATATGTCTTCTTGAACCCTTTGCAGAAGGGGCACACAGAGCTGCCAGCTCAGATGAAGAGCATCTCTGTGGAGTATCTCCAGCAGCTGGAGATGACTATTGCACAGCACTTTCTGGACATGGCAGAGAAGAGCTTTTGGGAGAGGAGCTGTTTTAAGCTCATGGTTTCCAGGGTGGCTTTTCATCTCTCTCAACCAGCAGCTCAGCAATAGAAGGCACCTTCTCTACAAATGCTGGTTTTCCCAAATCCTGCTGAGGATTTAGTGAGGCTGAGAAGGAAGGCTAGTAAGGCTTACTGAGCCTCAGATGGATTTTGCTCAGAAACCATGACACTGTTGCACGGGGAAGGTCTTAATGCTACCATGGAGAGGGTATGTGGAATTGTTGGTCAGTCAGCATCACTTGAGTCATCTCAGCCTGGGGCCAGATATCAGTGTTGGACAGTTCAGAACCCCAGGAAAACGACATGGCAGGATGGTGTCAGGGGATACATGGAATATTTTCTTTCTGGGAAAGACAAGCTGAACTGCTGGTACAATAGCTCAGTCTTTACTTGGTCATGCCATCTGTGTGCTGGTAAGATTAATTTTCTGCTTCCTAACAGTGGAAAATCAGGTCCCTAAGTTTCAATTTGAATGGCACAAATCTTCTATGGCCAGCTTTGATTTCTGGGGAAAGAGAAGAGGTCGTTTGATCTGGAGGTGCTGCCAGGCTATGTGTCATCAACCTGTTTCTTTTCCTTCTTCTGAGCTTTTCCTTACAGTTCTGTCCATCAGTCTCCCATAACACAGAATGTTCCTCTCCCAAAAATACAAGAGCCCTGTGAACCTGCCAGCTGTGGGTAGGAGGAGCAGAGATCACAACAGCTCATTCTTAAGAGAGAAAATACAACTGTTACCCTCTAAACTTATGCCAGCCTGGTAAGTCCAGAGAAAGATGTGGGGGTTCAGATTAAACTCCATCTTTTGAGAATTAATCCATTAGCATTCTGATTTAGAAGCCCATAAATTATAGCTCTAAACAAAAAGATTTTTCCTCTTGGAGAAGAAGGAATTGCCAAAGTGTCCATGTAGAAAATGAGACTAACAGGTTTAACTTAGGCACGGTCTTTTGCTTTAACATTCTCCTTGCTTCTTTAACTAGAAAATGGCTGCATTACCTGGAAAAATATTTTTGTCTTGTGCTGCTTGAGGGGAAAAGAGCTCATTAAATTTGCAGAAGTGGAAAATAATGTCTAAAAGGTCTTTGTAAGGCTGTGATTCTG